ATTGAACCCATCTTACTCAGTCTCTCCCCAACCCCAAGGACAGTCCCATTCTACAACAGTGGCATCATGTAATATTTGTCCTTTTGTGACTGGGATAGCATGAATATTTTCTAAGAGAAATATGCCTTAAAAAATTATGCCGTATCGTATGTAACCAGTGGAGAAATTCCTGATTCTGCTGGACTCTAGGGGTGGAGTTCCTTAGAAGACGAGTATAAAGATCTGTGGTCTATTTATAGGACCATCAAAAATCCTTTATTGGGAAGTTGGGAAATTTCACCTTGCACATTTTATGTTCCTGGCATTGTCAATTCTTACCTGTGTTTTTGAGGTGAGACTTGTATATGAAATCTCACTTGTGGATGTTTTTCATTCCATCAACAAGAGAGTTTATTCATGTGAGACTGACAAAAACCTTAATGTCATTTAATTGCAAAGCCAGAAGGAAACCAGTGTTTTTCATGGTCTGTGTTTCCAGCTCCCTAGTGGTCTTGTGGTAAGGAGCTGCTCTGTGGGAGAAGGAGGCGCTGTCTCCTCTCACGTGATTTACTGCCTCAGAAAACTAGCTAGAGAGTCAGCTGTGGGGTGGTTTCAACTTGACAGCACACAAACACCAATTTCCATACACCCAAAACCACAGCATTGTTTTGCAGGCTTTTTGTCATTTATTCATTAATTTCTTTTCAAAACTACATTTTGGGGCCTCTACTCTGATGAATGATGTAGTAACTGGTTATGTATTTGGTTTTCAAGGTTAACTATAAATTTGCATTATGGAGGTTAAACAGAGACTATAAATATGCTTTGCAGCTAATGCTAAGCCAGTCTTTGCTGCTCTGTTAGAATGAAGTATCCATTGACATTAGAGAATTGAGTTCTCCCAAAACATGTTCACATGACTAGACTGTGATTCTTATTATTAGGTAATTGTAAATCATCTCCTCAGAGATGTTAATGAGTAGGCTTAGCGGCGGTTGGGATGAGGTGGTCCCTGATAGTGTGATCAGCCACTCAGTTGTAAAGGAATGAGGTTGGGATA